TTTGTCAGTATTTTATTGAAGATTTTTGCATCTATATTAATCATGGATATTGGCCTGAAGTTTTCTTTTCTTGTTGAGTCTCTGCCGGGTTTTGGAATCAGGATGATGTTGGTCTTATAAAATGATTTGGGAAGAATTCCCTCTTTTTGTATTGTTTGGAATAGTTTCAGAAGGAATGGTACCAGCTCCTCCTTGTATGTCTGGTAGAACTCGGCTGTGAACCCGTCTGGACCTGGGCTTTTTTTGGGTGGTAAGCTCTTAATTGCTGCCTCAACTTCAGACCTTGTTATGGGTCTGTTCAGGGTTTCGGCTTCTTCCTGGTTTAGGCTTGGCAGGAGGCAAGTGTCCAGGAATTTATCCATTTCTTCCAGGTTTATTAGTTTATGTGCATAGAGTTGTTTGTAATAATGTCTGATGATGGTTTGAATTTCTGTGGAATCTGTGGTGATATCCCCTTTATCGTTTTTTATTGCATCAATTTGGTTATTCTCTCTTTTCTTTTTTATTAATCTGGCTAGTGGTCTGTCTATTTTGTTGATCTTTTCAAAAAAAACCAGCTCCTGGATTTATTGATTTTTTTGAAGGGTTTTTTGTGTCTCTATCTCCTTCAGTTCTGCTCTGATCTTAGCTATTTCTTGTCTTCTGCTAGACTTTGAGGTTTTTTGATCTTGCTCCTCTAGCTCTTTCAGTTTTGACGATAGGGTGTCAATTTTTGATCTCTCCTTGCTTCTCATGTGGGCACTTATTGCTATATATTTTCCTCTAGAGACTGCTTTAAATGTGTCCCAGAGATTCTGGTATGTTGCATCTTCATTCTCGTTGGTTTTGAAGAACATCTTTATTTCTGTCTTCATTTCATTGTTTATCCAGTCAACATTCAAGAGCAAGTTGTTCAGTTTCCATGAAGCTGTGCGGTTCTGGGTTAGTTTTTTCAATTCTGAGTTCTAACTTGATTGCATTGTGGTCTGAAAAACTGTTTGTTACAATTTCCGTTCTTTTGCATTTGCTGAGGAGTGATTTACTCCCAATTATGTGGTCAATTTTAGAGTAGGTGTGAGGTGGTGCTGAGAAGAATGTATATTCTGTGGATTTGGGGTGGAGAGTTCTGTAAATGTCCATTAGGTTTGCTTGGTCCAGGTATGAGTTCAAGTCTTGGATATGCTTGTTAATTTTCTGTCTGGTTGATCTGTCTAATATTGACAATGGGGTGTTAAAGTATCCCACTATTATTGTGTGGGAGTCTAAGTCTCTTTGTAAGTCATTAAGAACTTGCCTTATGCATCTGGGTGCTCCTGTATTGGGTGCGTATATATTTAGGATCGTTAGCTCTTCTTGTTGCATTGATCCTTTTACCATTATGTGATGTCCTTCTTTGTCTCTTTTGATCTTTGTTGCTTTAAAGTCTAATTTACCAGAGATGAGAATGGCAACTCCTGCTTTTTTTTGCTCTCCATTTGCTTGGTAAATCTTCCTCCATCCCTTTATTTTGAGCCTTTGTGTATCCTTGCATGCGAGATGGGTTTCCTGGATACAGCACACCGATGGGTTTTGGCTTTTTATCCAGTTTGCCAGTCTGTGTCTTTTGATTGGGGCATTTAGTCCATTTACATTTAGGGTTAATATTGTTATGTGCGAATTTGATACTGACATTTTGGTGCTAGCTGGGTGTTTTGCCCTTTAGTTGAGCTGGTACTTGTTGTTCCTTTATACGTGTAGAGCCTCTTTCAGGAGCTCTTGTAGAGCTGGCCTGGTGGTGATGAAATCTCTGAGTACTTGCATGTTCCCAAAGGATTTTATTTTTCCTTCACTTATGAAGCTTAGTTTGGCTGGATAGGAGATTCTGGGTTGAACGTTCTTTTCTTTAAGGATGTTGAATATTGGCCCACACTCTCTTCTGGCTTATAGGGTTTCTGCTGAGAGATCTGCTGTGAGTCTGATGGGCTTCCCTTTGTGGGTAACCCGACCTTTCACTCTGGCTGCCCTTAGTATTTTCCCCTTCATTTCATCCCTGGTGAATCTGACAATTATGTACCTTGGGGTTGCTCTTCTTGACGAATATCTTTGTGGTGTTCTCTGTATTTCCTGGACTTGAATGTTTGCCTTCCTTGCTAGGTTGGGGAAGTTTTCCTGGATAAGTTTTCCAGCTTGGATTCATTCTCTTCCTCGCATTCAGGTACGCCTATCAAATGTAGATTAGGTCTTTTCACATAGTCCCACATTTCTTGGAGATTTTGTTCATTCCTTTTTACCCTTTTTTCTCCAGTCTTTCCTTCCTGTTTTATTTCATTGAGTTGATCTTCAACCTCTGATATCCTTTCTTCTGCTTGGTCAATTCGGCTGTTGATACTTGTGCATGCTTCGCGAAGTTCTCGTGTTGCATTTTCCACCTCCATCAATTCACTTATATTCCTTTCTATTTTGTCCATTCTCGTTAGCATTTCGTCAAATCTTTTTTCAAGGTTCTTAGTGTCTTTGCTTTGGGTTAGAACATGTTCTTTAAGTTCACAGAAGTTTCTTACTACCCACCTTCTGAAGTCTGATTCTGTCATTTCATTACACTCGTTCTCCCTCCAACCTTGTTCTCTTGCTGGTGAGGAGTTGTGATCCCTTGTAGGAGGAGAGGTGTTCTGGTTTTGGGTGTTTTCATCCTTTTTGCGCTGGTTTCTTCCCATCTTTAAGGATTTATCCACCTGTCGACTTTGTAGTTGCTGGCTTTCAGATTGGGTCTCAAATCTTTCAGATTGATGTTCTGTTTGTTGATGGTGAGGTTACTTCTGTTTCTTGGTTTTCCTTCTGACAGTCTGGCCCCTCTGCTGTAGGTCTGCTGAGGTTCACTCCAGGACCTGCTTGCCTGGGGTTCACCTGCAGCAGCTCCTGAACAGCAAGGGTTGTTACCAGTTTTCTTCTGCTATCTTTGTCCCAGAAGGATACCCGCCTAGTGTCAATCTGATCTCTCCTTTATGAGGTGTCTCTTTGGATATATAGGGGTCAGGGAGCTGCTTGAGGAGACGGTCTCTTCTTTATAGGAGCTCAAATGGTGAGCTGTGAGCTCTGTTGTTCATTCAGAGCTGCTGGGCAGGTACATTTAGGTCTGCTGCAGCAGAACTCACAAACTGCTTTTTGTTCCCAGGTGCTCTGTCCCAGGGATTTAGGGCTTTATGAGTTTCGGTTATGCTGCTGCCTTCTCTTTTTTTTTTTTTTTCCTTCAAAGCTGTCCTGCCCAGCAAGGAGGCAGCCTAGTCACTGCCTGCCTGTAGAGGCTTTGCTGAGCTGCTGTGGGCTCCGTTCAGCTGCCAAGTGAACTTCCCTGCAATCCTGTTTATATGGGTGTAGTTAGAACTGCTTTGGCGATGGTGGCCCGCCTCTGTTGAGGTGGAGTCTCTCTGCAGTGGCAGGTTGCCTTGGCAATGGTGGGCTGCCTCAGCAATAGCGGGTTGCCTTGGCAACGGCGGGCTGCCTCAGCATTGGCTGACTACCTCTGTAGTGGTGGGCTGCCTCGGTGATGGCGGACGCCCCTCCCCCACAGAGCTGGACCATCCCGGGTTCAGCTGCACTTGCTGTGAACCTCTCAATCCAGAGTTTCTGGTTGCTGTTCTTTTGTGGGGGTGGGACCAGCCGAGCCTGATCGCCTGCCTCCCTGCCTCAGAGCCTTTTTTAAGTTGGTGTTCTAGTCGCCTGTTGAAGAAGCGCCGGGGTCTGTTTGTTTTCCCCTGCGGCCACTCACTGCGCTGGCTTAAAGAGCAGCGCTGAGGTTTGTGGCGCTTTTTTTTTTTTTTTTTTGCCCTGGAATCTACTGTCCTGGCTCTCTGCTCAGTCCCCTTTTTAAACAGACAAATGGGTGACTTCCTGTGGCTCCAATCACCAGCCAAAAGGGCACCCGGACCGGTGTATTTTGTACGGAGAACCGCTGCTCTGGGGCGCCGACAAAGCAGCCGCGTGGGGCAAAGCAGTGGCGCCGGCCAGCACAGCTGCGCTGGCCGAAACAGCCGCGCTGGTGACCTGTGGAGCTCCTCCACCTGGGAATTTCCTAGTCTGTAGGCAATAAAAATGTGGTGTCCACTCACCCTCTGCGCTTTCACTGGGAGCTGCAATCCTGAGCTGTTCCTAAACGGCCATCTTGGATCCTCCCCCACCCCTAAGGTTTTTTTAAAATTATTGTTTCAAGATATTCACATACTACCATTCACCTATTTAGATGGGCACTCGAATCCTCTTTTGGTAAAAGATACTGGGAAACCAGAGGAGCTGCTTATGAAATGTCAAATGGAAACATTCCAAACCACTGACTGACAGACAATCTCAGTGCTAGGAAAAAATAATATGAGTGAAAACTATTGCATATGTGGGCGATGGCAAAATGTAGAAAATCCTTTTCTTACAAAGTCAGCCATTACATTCTAGGTAATCAAGATGAATATTAAGTTTACAGATCCCTGGCACAGTCAGATGAACAAACTAAATACAAATCTATAATTGAGAAACAGGATCAGTAATGGCTATTTGCCCAACCTGAAAACCAGATCAGTTTGATCCAGTCCTACCTCTAATCTCAGAATTTTGAGATAAAACCTCATTACTAAAAATAGAAAAAAAGGCCAGGAGGGAGCTCATGCCTGTAATTCCAAAATTTTGGGGGGCCAAGGAGGGTGGATTGCTTGAGCCCAGGAGTTTGAGGCCAGGCTGGGCAACATGATGAGACCCTGTTTCTACAAAAAAATACAAAAATGAGCCAAGTATGATGGCACATTCCTGTGTTCACAACTACTCAGGAGTTTGAGGTGGGAGGATCACCTCAGTTCCAGGAGGTCAAGGTTACAGTGAGCCATGATAGTGCTACTGCCCCCCAGCTTGGGTGACAGAGTGAAACCCTGTCTCAAACAAAAAAGAATATTATATAGCAGATTTTCAGAATCAAAGAGTATATCAGCCAAATAGATTAGAATGACTCAAAAATTATCCACACTTAGGAAAACATGTTTATAAAATATTATTATCCTTACCTGCATATTTTCTTTACTGGTAAGAGGTTTTCCTGAGTCAAATGATTGAAATAGCTGTCAAAATACAAAATAGTAACAGCAAGAACAAGATTATTTGAGTATTCTTTTAAACATTTAATGTGTTCTAAAATAATTTTAATTATCATTTTTATTGAAAAAGTAATATATGCTCTAGTCAGAAAAGATATAGTATAAAGAAAGTAAAAATCATACATAAGTCAACTTCCTTTAAGAAATACAATTATAGTCATTTTTCCTACTAAATTCTTTTGGCTCACTTTTTAAATTTAAAAAAATAGATTTGTATTCCACGTTCACTAATATTACATCATAATTTTCTTCCCATACCGTTATTTGTAAACTTCAGTCTAACTAGTAGGTGATATTCTATCCCATGAATGTAGCCTAATAACCTCCTTCGTATTGTTGGACATCTCAGGGAGCTACTTCCCCATCATTATTCCATCGTTCGGCCCTAGTTTAAATAACACTGATAACTATTTTGTCTATATTTCTGATTATTGTCTTAGGATAGATTCCTAGAAGCAGAATTCCTGGGTCAAAAGATAGGAATATACTGAGAAAATTGAAAGAGTCTGGCTCAATTTACACTCCCACCCGCATTGTATGAAAATGTCAGAATTATTGCACTGTTAAAAACATTGAGTATTATCACTTAAAAACATCTTTATCCATTTGAAATAAAATTGTATGGCTATTCAGAATAAATATTTTTGGTTGTTTTTTCCCCTTTTTTGGTGTATTACTTGTTATCATATTTGGCTCTAAATATAATGTTGCATTGGGAAACATTTAGATTATTTGCCACAGGAGGCTGACATGTCTAGTAGGATGCATCTCTCTTGGTACAGAGGCCCTTTTTAAAGTATGCCCACTGGTAAAATCCAAAAGTGATGCCCTCTGCCCCTCCCTCATCCCCCTTGGTCACCAGGAAGTCACCAACAGCTTCCATGGACAGGCTGCTCACAGGTAGATGGTATTCTACTCAAGTACCTGTACCTCTTTGCCTGGCCATAATAACATTCAGGAGAGGCTAGAAGTGCAGGGAACAAATCTTACCAAAGAACAACAGAAGTATTCTACCTAGTCTCTCTCAGAGCCCCAGTTACCCATATGAGTGACCTTCTCATTCATGCTCTCTGAACTGGTTTTCCCCACTTCCCAATCTAGCTTTCTTAATTGCTCACCTTACTTCCTTGAATCACTTCCCAAAGAGACTATTCTTCCCAAATCCTAGTCTCAGGATCTGCTTTTGAGGGAACCCCCCCAAAAACAATACATCACAAATAGCTTTTATTGAAAAAGTATTGGTAAGTGTTTAAAAACTTTTTTCTCTACTTTGAAGATATTCTTTATTACCCATAATACATTGAAAAGTGAGTAAATGAATCCAAGGGGAAATCCTTGGTGGTATAAATTAAAGAGAGTTTAATAATGGGACTTTAGATTTGGTGATAAGAGCAGAATCCCAATATAAGTATAATGTTAAAAAATAGAATTTTTTTAAAGGCCTGTGAAAAGTTCAATAGTAATCTGTAGGATTTTTTCAGTTACTACTTTTACAAGTGAAACTTAATTCATTAATCCCTTCTTTAAATAACTAGCCTGCAGCTTAATAACATTGGCACCTATTTTAATTATAAATTCTGAATGTATTTCCTCTTTTAATTACACTTTTTAAATTCCCAACTGAAGCTGGAAAGTTGCAAATTAACTTTGAGAATACAAAATCTGAAATCAGAATCTATTGGGAGATAGATTCACCCACACATTTATCTTATGAAAACTAGTCGATAAAAATGGAGTTTGGAATCTACATGTAAAAATTAGTTTCTGACCTTTTGTTTATTTGTTCCAGTGAAAGCAGTGACCATTGAAAACTCTCTTGTTTCTCATCCTACCCAACTGGTTTCTCTTTTCTTCCCATCCTCCTGGACTCTAAATGTGAGTGACCCTAATGTTTAGACCTCTGACTTCTGCTTTTCTCTGCCTCATCTCCAGCTGACTTCATCCAGTTCCGTGATTTTAAATCTCTCTTGTTATGTTCCCAAATTTGTCCCTGCAACCGCAACCTCTCCCCTGAATTCCAGACCCTATATGATCTGCACCTACCTATGCTGTGTCTCCACCTGGATGTCTCCTGGGAATCTCATACTTAACATGTTCAACCCCTACCTGGAGCAGTATTCCCCATTTCAGTATATGAAAACATCTTCCTACCACTTGCTCAGGTTGAACATTCTTCCTTGCCTCCTTTCTCTTACATCCTGTATCCAAACCATCATCAGCAAATGCAGCCGGCTGAACCTTCACAACACATCCAGAAGAGGACTGCTGTTCACTCCCTTCACCACTACCACAATTACTATCATGCCTCACTCAGATTATCTGCAACAGCCTCCTAACTGTCTCCAAATGTATACCCCTGCCTACTCACAGCCTCTTTCCCAAACAGCAAATAGTGTCCTTTCATATTTAATTCCTATCATGTCACTTCTCTGCTCAAAACTCTGAAGTTTCCCATCTCATTTAGAAGAAATTCCAGTCCTTATCAAGCCCTATAAGGTCTTACATGATCTGACTCCTAGGTCACTTCTCCCCGTCTCTTCCTCCTCCTCCTCCTTATTGCAGCCTCACTTTCCCGACTTGGTTTTCCTCAACCACATCTTGCAAGCATCCCTTTTAGAACCTCCACCCTTGCAGTTCCTCCTACCTGGAAGTTGTTCCCCCAGATCTTTCCATGGCTCACTTCCCCCAAAACTTGCTTATTATAGAGATTCTCCAAACCACCCTGAATACAACAGCACCCCATTGCCCTGGTCATTCTCCATCCCCTCAACTCTGCTTGATTGTCCTTGACAGCCATGTATCACCACCTGACATATACGTATGTGCTTAACTTATTTAGTGTTTGTCTTTTTCACTGGACTGTAAGCTCCAGGGAAGCAAGAGCCCCACTACTGTCTTTCAACCGCTCTATCCCCATGCCTGGAATGGCACCTGTATTCAGTAAGCACTCAAAAAATATTTTGCAACTAATTAAAGTGTAATTAACTGAAGAGGAAGCAAGAAAATGTTGCTAATTTAATCCAGGTAAGAAGATGATTAATTTACGCCACAGAAAATGAGCAGAACATTCAACCATCTGACTTTAGTATCTCTCTTTTCCCCCATTCTGTGTGTATCTATCAATCGATCAATCACACAGATATATGCATATATATGGATGTATATACATATATACCCATGTGCATGTGTGTATCCTATTGCCTAATACACATCCCTCTTGGGATCTTCTGTGCACAGCCTCACACCGTATTACAATAAATTATAATGCTATAGCAGTCATATGGAATAATAAGCAGGTACATTTTAGGGGAATACTCTGAAGTAATGATCATACTATATGTAAATATAATGTCAGCTTAGAATACTCTGAAGTAATGATCATACTATATGTAAATATAATGTCAGCTTATGTTCGTGATTTTCAAGACTTATAGCTCATTCCCCAGGTTGCTTTAGGTCCTCCAAATCTGAATCTAGCCAGTTGGTATTGTCCCTATCAGTCTCACTCCTCACACAAACACTCTCTCCCAGGCAAACCAACGTGCTACCTTCTCCCATTCTCTTTGTTGCTGGTCTGGGAGGGCCCAAGCATCTGCCTAAAGCATGATCACCCGGTGATTCCCAGGTCAACATGAAGACCAAAACAGAGGAAAATAACAGCTCACTCTGATTTAATTTATGCTTTAAACGTCAACTCCAGTATTCATTTTCAAGGGTGCTTCAATTACCCAGTTTATAAATGCAAATTAAACAAGCCAGGTAAAACTATCTCCTAAAATCAACAAAGGTTAGACAATATAGAGGAATGTTCTCTCCTCACAGAAATCAGAGGAAATTTGAACACATTCTTAACACTTTAGTATAATGTATGACAATCAAAGAGATCCAAATAAGATATAAGGAAAGACTATTTTGATTAAAAATATTAACCAGAAATTATAATGTTAGACCCAAAATCTAAGTAGTAGTGGCTGATTGATGTGCCTAGTGAGACTGCCCATGGTAACTATAATAAAAAGCAACAAGCAGCATCCCTGAGCCAGAATTTGATTGCAAAAATCTACTCCAAAACTATGCTCCCTCCGCCATGACACCCTTCCAACCCAGACAAATGAAACCTCATAAAGTCCTCATGTTAGTTGTAACCAGACTTAACAAAGAGGTCTAGAATACCGGAGATTGTAAACATACTTTCACAGGAGTGTTCCCTACATTTTAGGAGTGTATCCCTCACAGGCAAAGAAATTGCTTTGAATCAAATTGTCAGGTTACCTTCATTTTTCCAGCAGCTTTATAGCCTGCGGGTATTGAACAAGGCATGTTTTTTCCATAGAAAATCTGGGATATCTCATAAAAGGCTTCAGAAAAGAATCTCAAATCTATAAGGACTTCTATCTGTAAAGCAAAGGAAACAATGAGGTATTTAATTAAACAATTTGTTGTACTTAGAAAATAAAAGTATAGAGAAAATCATCAACTTTCTAAGATCCAAAGTTTCTGCTTAATGTTGGTAATGCATTATGAATTAATGTTTACTAGACACAGTGGAGGGAGATGCATGTGTCTATGTGTATCCCCATTTACATGTGCAATGGACCAAGAAGCTAACAACAGCAGGCGGCTGTTCAAAACAATGGACATTTATCAGATGCTGTTTACTTCATCAGAGGCAAACATAACATATTAATATTTTTATAATATGATAGCTGTACAAAAGTTTTTAAAAATGAATTTTTTGTTCCCATTACTAAGTATAGCTTAAAAGAAAAACAAAACAAAAGCACTCCTAATGTTCCCCAGCACAGCGAGGGAAGTCAAACTGGTAGACTAACTCCACAATGTATCAACATAAAGACAACTACTAATTTTATTTTTAACTTTTATTTTAGGTTCAGGGGTACACGTGCAGGTTTGTTATATAGATAAATTGCATGTCATAGGGGTTTGGTATACTGATTATTTCATCACCTGGGTAATAAGTATAATGCAGGTGAACAGGGTCTGGAGGCAGGGAACCTAAGGCCGTCTCACGCCAACTTTCTTGAACTAAATTGAAAGGACAACCCTAATTTTCCATGCCTAAGTAACAAAAAGACCAGCGTCTACTCCCTTTGCAAACCTCCATCCTTTCTGTGCAGTAGATGGGAAACTGACTGTCTGCAACAAATTAGACTGATTGCAGGCAAGTCATCATTTGCATACAAGTATAACTTTATAACCTCACCCTGCTTTTTTGCAACCGATCAGATATTTGCACAGGAGTGTGACCTTTAACTTCACTTCAGCCACTGGTTGGCTGCTTTCTGCAATCAATCAGACAAATTGTGGGCTACCACTTCATTTACCTGGGGTGAGCATGAAGTGGCCAATGGGAAATGCCTACGGGGTATTTGGACCCAAGAAGATTCTGTATCCGGGCTCTCGAGCCGCTGCTCAGGCCCGCTCCCACACTGTGGAGTATACTTTCGTTTTCAATAAATCCCTGCTTTCATTCTTTTGTTGTGTCATTCTTTCTTTGCTTTGCTGGGTGCTTTGTCCAATTCTTTGTTCAAAATGCCAAGAACCTGCACAATTTGCAGTCGTGACCCACTACTGGTGACAAGTATAGTACCCAAGAGTTAGCTTTTTGGTCCTCACCCTCCTGTCACCCTGCACCCTCAAGCAGGCCCCAGTGTCTATTGTTCCCTTCTTTGTGTTCACGTGTCCTTAATGTTTAGTTCCTGCTTATAAGTGAGAATATGCGGTATTTGGTTTTCTGTTCCTGTGTTAGTCTGCTGAGGATAATGGCCTGCTCAGCTCCGTGCAGGTTGCTGCAAAGGACATGATCTCATTCTATGACTGCGTATTATTGCATAGTCTGTATATACCACATTTTCTTTATCTAGTCTACCGACGATAGGCTAGACTAGATAAAGTTATTTCATGTCTTTGCTATTGTGAATAGTGCTGCAATAAACAATTTTCCTACCCATAATTAATGGCCACTGTCAATTTTAAATATATATATTTAACAATATTAATCAATTGACAGCTATACATTTTATAATGTATACAATACAATCCAGCAGGACCATCAATCCGAAAATTATAGAAAAAGTTATTATTTAAATGCATTCATTCATTCAACATATATATGGAGCACCTCATATGTACAAGCACTCTTGGAGGCTATGTTCCATTGGGATGCATGGTTAGCTAAACTTACAGTGACACCTGAAGATATACACAACATACAAAGGGATACAGGGCACTCACAAACGCTATTTTCAAGACTGTGGTCAGGAAGGAATTCTCTGTGAAGGAGACCTTCAAGAGAAGATTTGGGAAGGGCATAAAAGAAAACAGACATGCACATCTGCTAAAGGGACCTTAGGATAGAGGTCATATGGCAGGACTCAGGGAGCATGGGGAGGAGGTCAGGAGGCGAGTGTGAATGCTGGCCATGAAAGGTCAAGTAGAACCTGAAGACCAGAGAAGGGACTTCGCATGTTATTCCCTGTGTGATAAGGAGTTATTAGAGAGTTTTAAACAGGATAGAGCCCTAACCTAAGTTTTGAAAGCCATCTAGTGACTTTGTAGAGAATAGAGAAGGGTAATGTGGAAGCACAGAATAAAGTACAAAATTAGATTAACATATAAATATATTACACAGGAAAAGAAAACTCCATTTATCTTCAGCAAGTCCACCCACCGTACTCTGTTTCCAATTTATTATTATCTTAGCAATCTCAAGAGTGTGTGAATTTTAAAGAAATAAAAATGTGAGCTAGTGGGAAATTGGATACATAATAACTGAAAAATAAAATATAAAATTCAGGAAAATATTTTTTAAAAGAAAGAGAAAATTGCTTGTCTATTGAGTTGCATACTTTGCTCCTTGCCCAAGACATCTTGGGTTCTAATCTCCCCAGTGCCATATAATATCAAAGGAGGCTCTAGGGGAGACATATAAACTCTTTCAGGTTTCTAGGTGACCATTTTTCTCATTAGCCCTAAGAGGAAACACTTCCCCATATCTGCATGTGGTTAGTTTCCTTGAGTCTTGACTATACGATTGCTGTACATGGACTCTCTATGGCTTCAGTTTATCATACCAATCTGACCATTTGAAAAAGCAATTGGGTAAATAATGGACATATATTTTCAGAGGTGACCAACACTGCAAACACAAACAAGCCAGATAGCAAAAAGAACTACCCACAAATCAACCGTTCACTCACACAAATACAGAACCATTGGTACCCTTCCTAGGTTTGATATGTTAAGAGTGATAAATCTTTCAAGATGTTGGCAGTTCTAAAGCAAAGCCAGGCCAGCTGATCATGAAGAGGTCTTAAAGCTTTCCCTCAAAGACTCTAGGGCACTACAGAAACTTCAGAGTGTGATCTACTGCTCTTTGATTTGTCAGAAAGCATCATTGTGTGTTTTTCCCGACTATGACATTTCTCTCTTCCCACTCCCTGGCCCCAGTTTACTTCAGAAAGGTCAGGCAGACTCTGCTCACACAGGCTGTCATCCTTCCTCTGTATGATCCATCACTTGTGCTCTTTCATTGCTTCTGTCAAAACCCTAGTCTGGCTTTTCAATCCTATCATGCCAGTAAGATCCCAGTTCTCCATATACTCCCGACACTGCTACCAGATACCAGATATGATGTCATTCTCCTGATTCAAATCCTATAATTAATTAGAGAAAATAATAAGATTCTAGATAAATTTGATAATTAATTCTCCAACCCAGTTCTCCAGAATTGAGTCCACAGTTTTTCTCTGGTTTTTATGCTACTCTAGGACAAAAACAGCTACCAAGCACTAACAATAGGATTTTTTTAAAAACTCATCTAACCACTTTGTTCCAGATTATGTCTTTTGGGTCCCCTCTAGATCTCCTCTTCATGAGTTATGATCATTGCAACCATTTCATGCTTCTTGCCTCTTAATGACAGACCAGATTGTATGTGTTACACAAATCGGATATTGCAATCTCTTCATTTCTCTCATGGCTCAACCTCCACATTACATCTCTTCAGAGTTGGGAATTCAAGACTAGGTCCCTGGTATTCTCAAGGTCATCAACCTTTGGCAGTCTCATGTTATCTTCTACAACCTGCCTACTCAAAACCTCTGCTGTAGTGTAACTGAACCACCCCACCCCTAAACGAGTCAGCACTTTCTCACCTCTTTCACACTACTAAGAAATGTTCCCTTTTTCCTCTCTCCTGCTCCATTAATTCTACTCTTTCAAGCCTAAATCTTACCTACTTAGTGAAACCTAAAGACTCAAATCCAGTTTTTCCTCTTTCAAACTCCTGGAGACAGCGTTCATCACACTCACTTGGAAATGAAAGAGTGGCAGGTGCCAACATTATGGTCTTGGGTATACGTCCTGTCTTTTGTTTTAGTTTTCACTTCCTTATAAGCAAGGACCATTGGCTACATTTCTTTGACTGAAGTTACTAACACAGTGCTTTTAAATAGGAAATACTCAATAAATATTGTTGTAGGGTTAAATCAATAAATATCTGCCAAGTATTTTCTAGGTGATTTAGCACTAAACACTATAAAAAGTGGACAGTATGCACTTGATAAATGTCTGCAGATTTTAAATTCAATAGTTAATTACTGAATTTCAACTATGTGAATGTATTACTCAAGACACTACAGGGAATTAAAAGATGAGTAAGATACAGATCCTAGCGTCAAGAATTTTGCAATATTGAAGAGAACATTATCTTTTGTAAAAGAGAGAAAAGTTACATGCAGTTTCTTTTTAAAGTGTTGGAATTCAAAAGCAAGAGAGCTCATAAGAGTTCAGTAACTCAGAGAGGGTGATTCAGAAATTTTCATGGTCAGTAACAAATTATTTATTCCCAGGTTAAAATCACTAATAGCACCAGAATTATTCTTAATTTCTTTACTTAGAAATAGAATGCAATGGTGTTGAACAATGAGAACACATGGACACAGGGAGGGGAGCATCCCACACTAGGGTCTGTCGGGGGGAAATAGGGGAGGGGCAGTGGGGGGTGGGGAGTTGGGGAGGGATAACATGGGGAGAAATGCCAGATATAGGTGATGGGGAGGAAGGCAGCAAACCACACCACCATGTGTGTACCTAGGCAAAAATCTTACATGTTCTTCACATGTACCCCAGAGCCTAAAATGCAATAAATAAATAAATATAAATAAATAGAATGCAATGAACTATTTGGGTCTGAAAACATAGACCCCAGGGCAGGGTTTAGATAGGAAGAGCAATTCAAATGGAAATCTAATTTTCCCTTCTTAGAAAATGGAAGAAATCTGGAGACAAAAGGTAGAGAGTATTTCCACAAAAGTGGAAGTATGCACGAAGCCAGTGGTGTGTTGGAGCCCATCCAAATTATAAGAGCTGACTGTGCACATCTTGTCCCCTATTCCATCGTTAGTGATGTCTAGTTGGTAGCCTGAAGTCACGACATAGCGGGAATATTCACACCATGGATAGAAATTGCAAATGCCACAGATGAAAGTTTTGAGGTTTTTTAGAGCCAATTGTGACATTGTCGGCCCATAGCTGATTGCTCCATTCGATCAAAGGCAGGAGATGATGGCCAAGAGAGATTTTAAGCTCAATAAAGCCAAGTGTTCTATATTAAATTGTTTATTTTGCCTCAACTTAAATTTCCCTGTCTTCCTAATTTTTAGTAAAGTCCACTATAGAAAAAAGAGTGAATATATGGTATGTGTATATGTAAAATATAAAATAGGGTTGAATTCCATATTAGAGTTCAGGAGGTACAGAACCGGAAGCACATTTGTTGGATATTGACATGATCCATGTACAAAACAAACTCGATAGAAGTGGGAGCCGGCAACATGGGTGATTAGGAAAGAGGGCAGAGAGAACAAGGTGCTTCCCACTCCGCGTGGTGTTCAAGCCAATCGCACATGAATCTCAAAAGCAGAGAATCTTAACTGACTTCTGGATGACAGAAATTTTTTTTTACAGATTGTTTTTTTTAATTTAGCATCTGATCTTGGCAATTCAATTGCCTGTGCATTGAAAAATTACTGTGTACCATGATATCCGTAAAGGTCCTTAGGAATAAGTTCACAGAAACTTCAGAAAACTGGTTCGGTTGGTCTTCACCAGAAATCCAGTCTCTCAGAAGCGGTGATTTCCAGGCCAATTAGTGTTGGGTGAGCTTTATTTCCATGTTCTCATTTCTGTTGCATGTTCCTCACTTTACTGTGGCCCAAGCATAAAATAATCTACACCTTTCTAACTGGCTCTTTCTCATACTTTATTATAATAATGGGCAAGTTATTTCTTATATCAGTATAATGCCATGTTATTATCAATGTGTTATTATGAGTCCTAGGATCAAACTAATACATGACAATATACTTAATAGTTCAAGAATATCAAATGTCTTAAAAGCTTGTAATATACCTTGAGGATTCTTGCTTCTAGATTTCTGATTAAGTCTTGACAAATTCCAGAAACAAAATATTGGTACAATGCAAGGAGAGGCAAAACCTATGAAAAGAAAAACACTCTTTGTTATATGTTTTATCAAAGTAATAACTGAATAATCAAATTTAGCCAAATATTAACTATAGGATATGTTATATATTGATTTACTTTCCATGCCAGGAAACTATACTGTTGGATATAAGTGAAACGCTCTATCTAGCACAGGCTTCATAAGTTTTTCAGAACTTTAAGAAGCTATCAGAGATTCACAGTTCCCAGTAGATGCCATGTGGTACCCCAAACCTAGGCTGCTCATCTCTTTAAGCAAGAAGAGGTTAAAATCCAATCAATTATCTTCCTTGAAAAGAATTAACTCAACATAAACACATGAATCACTGTAGCCTGTGGAAAAATTCTAGCAAATGAGCTACCAAATAACTGTAAAATGTAAAGCAAAGAAAGTCAATCTATGCCCCTAACTGGACCTACATATTTGTTTCAATACCAGCTGCTTTTTGTCTTCAATTAGAATTTTTCTACCAACAAAAAATATTTATAACATGCCTATTATATGTTAGGCATTGTCGAATGAGAACAAAATCTAACAAATTCCTGCCTTCACATAGCATATATTCTACTGATTAAAACCCAAGCTTACTCTTCACATAATATTTTTATTTTCCTAGAATTTCACCCCAAAGTTCAATTGCTCTTGAAGTTTCATGGATATATGTGAAGGCTTATAGAAGACCAATATTTCAATTGGCCCAACCACTATCCATCACGAGAAAGATGTGGTGAGGACAGTTTTGTCTAACGTTGGAACAGCTCCTGATCTCAAGTCAAACTGGAAGCTCAGTTCCTGCAACTGTAGCCTGCCCTGACAAAGGAAAATGGGGTAAAAAGGATATTGGGATCCCCATTAGTTAGCAAATTGCTTCCCATAGCTCCACAGCTCTGGGTCACATAGCAAATTTTATATTCAAGGGAAGTCCCCTTAGCCACTGGGCTTCTTCTGGAGAAGGTTAATGTAATACGAAACGGAAACTGTTTACTTCTTGCAATTTCAGCTGGGGAACCTCTAATTGTCAGTCAACTGGCAGCTGCTAATAGCAACAGCTTTTTAAAAAGATTAGAACTGGTCTTAAATGATTTCAAACATAATACAATACATTTTTCTATAATTATGCCCTACGAACATAACACAATACCTTTTTCCACAATTAACGTAGCACAAAACATTAAGAATTGGCGATTACCTCTGAGGTTGTTTCTTTTCTTTAGTGAGAAATAAAAACACACCACTTTATTGCTGCCAATTGCTCAATTATTCAGAAAAACATTCTCAATTTCTTCAGCTTTAGACGGAAAAAAACCTCATTTCTTTTCCAGCACAGTGATATGTATTATATATGAATATGACTAAGCAGCTAAAGGTTACCCAGGGGATGGAACTATTTCTTCAACCCAGAAATGAATCCCTTTAACAGTGAGAGGAGCACTATTTTGTTATTTTTCAAAAATAAACAATTTCTCACCAAGTCTGCCAAGTGTTAAATGCACTTATCAATCTCTTTACTTTAACACATGGTTTTACAAGTTCTCAGTTCATATCGGGGGCAATAAATATTTTCAATTTAAAGAGAGATCTGAATTTGGAAGAATAAATATGCCAAGAGAATAGAAAACAATGTATGGGGAGGAAAGTAAGTAGGTATGAAAATCGTGGAGGGAAGGGAAAGAAGCAGAAAAGAAGAAAGAATAGATGTAAAGAAGTAGAGGGGGAAAAGAGATACAAAATAATAGAGGGAAGAACATAAAGAAAGAAAAAAGACAAAATAGTGGAGGAAAATATAAAATGAACAACAATTCTAATAGAACATACTAGTTTTTTTTAATGCAACCAGCTTCAAATTTATGACCTATACTGTGATTTCTTTCCTCAAAGGAAAGGAGAGCTGTATTTGAATTTTTTATTTCCTAGGACATTAAGAAATCTCTATCCTTTATCTACTTAGAATCTATTTTTCTCTTAGAGACACCCTTGACAGAGAAAATACAAGACACATAAAGATAAACTTCTCTCAATAAAGAACCGCTCTCATAGTTTTGGGATTGATATAACCTGAACAACTTAATGCAGTGGGTTCCAAATACACTAGGCTTCTGTGTTTGAGATCAGTGATGCATTCTGATCAATTTCACTAACCATCTTAAGAAAAAAAATATAAAGTAACACAGTAAAAGGAGAAAAAATCAAATAGACTGCTTTTGTATCCAAAATGCAAAGAAAGAATATTAATTCATACATTTTAGTTTGAAGTGTAAGTAAGAATCCTACATACATAGAGTTTAAAAATTAAACAGTAATTGACCAAAATAATATTAGCAAAATTTGAAAAGTATCAGGTGAGTGGAGCAAAATATCCCAGTGATAAATATGTGTTGATTTTACAAAGTACTTACTATTAGGTTTTGCCTAACAAAGTGCAGTTCACGTATAATGTAATACAGACTTGCAATTACAGAGCAAATGTCAGCCCTGTATCTATCTGAGAAGAGCTCAATGCCTGGGAGAAGTTGAGTGATTTCATATTGAGCATAGCAACGTTCCGCTTTGGGATGTGGAAGTGTGGTTCTAAGCAAACCCTGAAAATGAAAAAAAAAGTGAAATAAAAAGCTATAGATTCCATTTTCAATAATGAAGCAAAAAAGATAAACACATGTGCTGCTTTCTAAAATGCTTAGTGAATGCCTAGCACACTGTACTTTGTAATAAATGGTACTTATTTATATTATCAACATTACAGGTTCCAAATGCTTTTATCACTCCAGACGGGCTTTTAAAATTCCATGGTAGTTGGATACTTATTATTTTCAAAGAAATTATCATTATATTAAATTATCTTTTGTTGAGGGTCAATTATATGTTAAGCACTGCTGGTAAATTCTTTATACACATTATCTCATTTAATGTTAGTTTAACCTGCTCTTAGAAGGAAGGATTATTATCTCACAAATGATATAATTGAGGCTTAAACAACTTATCTGAAGTCACATAGCTAATGATGGCAGAAAGGAGATTCAAAGTCACGCCTATTTAGCTAAAAAAAAAATCTATGTTCTTTCCACTATAGCAAGCTGTAAGTAGAGGAAATGACTACTTGTTTCAGAAGTCTAAATCAGGCAGAAGTAATTTGAAACTTTTAACTGCTTAAATGAAAAGATTTTGTTTAATCTTTAATTTGATCAATATTTTTTGGTAATTTATGTAACCGACATTACACTAGATGTTGGGGAAACAAGATGGATATACAAAACCAAATTTTACCTTGAAGGGTGCTTCTTTCGTTATCTTAACAATGACAATTTCTTAAGGACAAATGCATTATGAAATTATTTTAATGTACGTTTTAGAAAGAATTTCAATCCAACAGCTTATTAAGGTCATGAAATATCCTACTCCAAAATACTTTGTAGTTGTTGAAATTTTTACTAACGTAAATTTGTTTTAAAATCATAAAAAGAATAAGGCTTTAAAATAAATCCCACTAGCTAATTTTTATTTTAGGTATAATATTACTAAGAAATTAATAATACATTATTGTCCATATTATGCAAAAAGTTAAATATTTGTTAAAACACTTATTTTCTAAAACATAAACATCTTCAAGAACAAGGAGTATCAGAAAGTAAAGAATTCGATGCAGGAAGTCAGAGTTGGGTCATTTCCTTTATACCCTTGCCTCTTCTACTTCTTCCCTTTGAAACCTGGGCAAGAGATAGAAGGAACATAAGAAAATTGAAAAGTCTGGTCTTACATTCAGAGAAGTTCTTCCTGAAGAACTCACTTATTTAGATTTCATAAGCTAACAGACTTCTCTGATATACAGAACAAGAATACCCATCCTTCAAAGTAAATAAAACCTTTAGTAGATTCCAAAGGCCCCTGGTTACTTTTCAGAATTTTAAAATATCTTGTATTTCAGATAAAAGCTTCTTTCTTCTTCAGTGAAGTTAAATCAAAATTCTGAGAACTGCAAGCATACCTCTCCTGCAGTCTTCAAGTTATTTTCCACCTTCATCCTAAGATAGATTGTATAACACATAACCAAGCAAAACTGAATTTAGAGATGAGGTAACCTAAGGCAACTATTTGAAGTCAAACAGACTGGCTTCAAACTGACTACTAGTAACATGATCTTACTTAATCACAGGAGACTCAGTTTCCCCATCTGTAAAATTCCTTCTTCTGTAGTCTACAGGAGAAAACTGACACTGTTAAATATTAAAGGTGTACCCGGCATGGTGGCTCATGCCTATAATCTCAGCACTTTGGGAGGTCAAGACAGGTAGATCACCTGAGGTCAGGAGTTCAAGATCAACCTGTTCAACATGGTGAAACCCTATCTCTACAAAATACAAAAAATTAGCTGGGTGTGGTGGTGCACGCCTGTAGTCCCAGCCACTCGAGAGGCTGATGCATGAGAATTGCTTGAACCTGGGAGGCAGAAGCTTCAGTGAGCTGAGATGGCACCACTACACTCCAGCCTAGGCAACAGAGTGAGACTCGGTCTCAAAAAAAGAAAAAAAAATTCACGATGAAAGTGCCACTGGGGTTCAGCCAGCAAGAGAAAGATGGGGTTGTGATATTTAAATCAAGATTCATGCTATTTTGCTACCTGTGAGCTTTCTGAATATGATAAACATTTTTTACTGATCTGATGAATGGTTGTGCTACCATGGAAAAACATACAAACATAAAACGTTACCTGAAAGAGTAATGCAGACAAAATGCAACAGTCAGTTCTCTTTTCAACATTCAATGACTGAATAAATCTAAGTAAGTATAAGAAAAATAAACTGATTAGTAGAAAATTTCCAAAAACATTTTGGCATAACTGTACCATTACATACATATCCAGAACACAAAAAGTATAAGAAAAACATATACATATAAATATATAAGAAAACAGAAGGAAAATATATTAAAGAAGATAAAATTCCCCTGTAATCCTACTGCCTAAACACGATTACTGGTAACATTTTAGTCAATTTCCTTATACATATTTTTTTCTGTATACAATTATACACACATAGAAACAAATACACATAGATTAAGACTAGAATTATGCAAAACACATTACTTTATAAACAAATTTTTCATTCACACACATAATGAACTGTATCATTCTTCTAAAGAACTTTAATGTTTTATCATACGAATGTGCTACAACATAAAAATACGAATCTCAACTTTGGCTTTTTCCAGTGCTGAGGTAAACATTGTTATGCCCACATTTTTGAACACTTATCCTATTTGTTCCACTGAATGAACCCCTGGAAGTGGAAGTTTTTGGTAAAAGGAGGTGCACAGTAAAGGCTTTTGATGAGCACAGTTAAAGAACTCCCCCTGAAGACTGAAGCATTGTATTTTCTCTCTAGCTGTTTATTATGGTGCCTTTCAAACATTAAGTATCTCCACCAAAGACTAATGTCTCTCCATTTACAACTCTTTCATTTTATGTCCCTTAGAAGGAGAGTTTGAGTTCTCTATATTGATGAGTCTTAAAATTCACATTTGCAACTACAAAACACGTTACCTTCTCCTAAGTCTTTCTTAGATAAAACCAATCAGGTTCACTACATTAATAAAAATGTCTATCTCAGTTCAGCTTCACTGTGTGGATCTTCAAGTGTGGTATTTTACAGGCGGGGAGAAGAGTTTCCTCTACTCAGGGAGTCTAGGAAAATAGCCAAAGCCCCTGTAGAATCATATCTCCTATGGCAGTCAGACTTCCAGCTGGGTAACCAGGAAATGACATTCTGTTTGTTGAAAATCACTAGGTAATAACTTCAGAGGCTCAGAGAAGCTGAGGTGCCCTCTGGCAGGAAGGCTATGCTGTTCCTTTCCAAGCTGTGAACTTTCCTTGGCTTTTCCATTCCCAAGTGCCAAGCTCCACTAAGTCATAAGCAAGCGCAGACTTTGTTTCAGGAGTGTGTGTGTGTGTGTGTGTGTGTGTTCTATCCCAGGAGCACAGAAAAATCAAACGTGACAGAGCTCTAAATCTTTGATGTTTAATACGTGTGTGTGTGTGCGTGTGCGTGTGTGTGTGTGTGTTCTATCCCAGGAGCACAGAAAAATCAAACGTGACAGAGCTGTAAATCTTTGATGTTTAATACGTCTAAAGCATTACTTTCTTACTACCCTGACTGAAGAGGCTAATCTGAAAGCAATGTGATCACTTCCTAGGAACAACTAAGTTTTGTTAAGTGTGCCCTACAGCTTAAAGCTATGCACGTTGTTGCCCACCACCTCCGACAGGTAAGCTAGAAAAGCAACTGGAGAGGTGAAGGAAACCTATACCTCTACTCCCTCCATACTTTTCAAATTTCACATGTTAATCAAATACTTAAGATATTTGTGATTGCTAGCTATGTATAAGCCATTGTTAAAGACATTCACCTGTGTTATGTGTGGTAGGCTAAATAATGGCCTTCCAAAGATATTCATGATCTAATCTCTAGAACCTGTGAATATGTGACCTTACAGGGCAACAAAGACTTTGCAGATGTGATTAAATTAAGGCCATTGAAATAGGGAAGATTATCCTGGATTGTCACCAGTAGCCCTTGTAAGAGAAAGGCAGGAGGGTCAGGGTCAGAGAAGGAGACGTGAAGATGGAAGAAGATGTGAGAGACAGAGAGGGGTGGGGGTGGGGGAAAGATGTTAAGCTATTGGTCTTGAAGATAGAAGATGAGGCCATGAGCCAAGGAATGCAGGAGGCCTCAAGAAGCTGGAAGAGATAAGAAATCAGCTTCCCCCCCAAGAACCTCTAGAGAAGCACAGCCTTGCTGACACACTGATTTTATGATTTCTGAATTCTACAACTGTAAAATAATAAATCTGTTTTGTTTTAAGCCATTAGGTTTAGGGTAATTTGTCACAGTGACAAAAAGGAACTAATACAGTATGTGTTATGGGCTAAATTGTGTCCCCCAGAAATTCCTATGTTGAAGTCCTAACTCTCAGTGACACAGTTTGAAAAGAAGTCCCCACCAAATCTCATGTTAAACTGTAATACCCAGTATTGGAGGTGGGGCCTGGCAGGAGGTATTAGGATTGGGGAGTAGATCCCTCATGATTGGCTTAGTGCCATCCCCTTGGTGATGAGTGAGTTCACATACATCTGGTTGTTTAAGAGTGTGGCACCTCCCACTCTCTCTCGCTCCCATTCTTGCCATGTGAGATGCAGGCTCCCATATTCAAATATGGCCTTCTGCCATAATTGAAAGCTTCCTGAGGCCTCACCAGAAACTCAGCAGATGCTGGGACCATGCTCTCTGTACAGCCTGTAGAACCACAAACCAATTGAACCTCTTTTCTTTTTAAATTACTCAGTCTTTGGTATTTCTTTGTAGCAAAGCATGAACAGCCTAACACACCCACTAACCTCAGATTGTGACCATACTTGGAGACAGGGCATTTAAAGAGGTAAGTAACTAAGTTCAAATCAGGCCACAGAGGTGGGCCCTAATCCAATATGACTGGTATCCTTAAAAGAAGGAGATGAGGACATTGACATGCCGAGGAAAGACCACATGTGGACACAGTGGTCTTTCCTATGTCTAAGCCAAGAAGAGAGGCTTCAGAAGAAACCAATTCACCAACACCTGTTCTCCAACTTCCAGCCTCCAGAATCATGAGATAACAAAGTTCTGTTGTTTAAGTCACCCAGTCTGTGGTACTTTGTTATGACCACCCTAGGAAATCGATACAGTATATCATGTAATTTTTACCACCCTGGCTTAGAGATGAGGACACTGAGGCTCAGAAGGAATGTGAAACTTGTTGAAAGTAACTGGATTCTTGTACACTCTTGGATGAGGCCCATGACTGACTGCCTCCACATTGTTTTCTTGCTCCCACACCAACTGCTCATTCATTTGACCACTCAGCAAGTAGCTGTTGAGCCAGACACGGGTGCTCACGCCTGTAATCCCAGCACTTTGGGAAGGTGAGGTGGGCAGATCACTGGAAGTCAAGAGTTCCAGACCAGCCTAGCCAGCGTGGTGAAACCCTGTTTCTACTAAAAATACAAAATAATTAGCTGGGCATGGTGGTGGGCACCTGTAATCCCAGCTACTCAGGAGGCTGAGGCAGAAGAATCTCTTGAATCCAGAAGAAGGAGGTTGCAGTGAGCTGAGATGGAGCCACTGTACTCCAGCCTGGGTGACAGAGTGTGACTCCGTCTCAAAAGAAAAAACACAAGTAGTTATTGAATGCCAGCTGCATGTCTGGCACTTGGGATCCATCAGTGAGCAAGGCAAACACCTGGGCCCAGATGACACTGATATTTTGGGGCAAGCATTGTGTTACAGGAAGAGGAGATAATCACAAAGCAATAAACATCACAAATAAGTAAAGAAACTGTAAAGCCCTGTATGATATGGACATAATCTCCCAGAAATCCAGTGTGCATGAGGCACAGCATTTTGCATGACACGGGAAGGGCACCGTACAAGGAAGTTATTAGCTGGTACGCAGATTCTTCCAACCTCACACTCACTGTGCTATCTTGGCTGATATGACTGCTCCTTGCAAACACCCCCAGATGCCAACTTTTGACAGAAACTCCTCACTATAGTCTTTGAAACCCAGAGGTGAATGGCTGTTGGTGACATTGGTGAGTGAGGGGCCAAACTCTTTCCACGTGTGCAGCACATCTGGTTTTCTGAATATGTCATCAAGAGCTTGACACCAACACTTAAAAGCAGCCCTAAAACAGAGACAAAGAGTCAAGGAGTACGTTTTCTGAGACCTGGTATTAAATCTATCTTCCAGAAGGGAAAGCAAATACACAGAAGCAACATCAATTAACATATGTATAACTATACACACATCCACTGTTCTTAATGGTTTCTCTCAGGTAGCATTTGATGAATAAAATGCAGCGAGGTAGTATTGCTGAAGAACTAAAATTCATGAAAGACCATTTTTTTCATAATCATTAAAAACTTTTTCAAACAAGCAAATAAAACAACTTTGCCCTTGTTCTACAGATTTCTAAAAATCTACCTTTTCTTTTCTGCAAAGATGAGAAGACTTCCAAGTGAATGCAACGCCTGAACTTTAAGACTTCTTTGATTACTGGCTTGGAGAACATCTATATTTTTAATCAAGTAAAAGAACAAATGTCAGTTCCTAGAAAAATATTTTCTTTATATTTGCAAGAATATTTTAAACTGCACTGTTCCTTAACTGTGTAGATTACAATAAGCAAACTGCAATAGCACCTTCAAATGTCACACGATATATATACACAGAGAGTGAGCAAACGTTCTTTTTGATTACAGAGTGAAAGATTGGCTCTAACAGATACTAATAATGAGGCTTCGTGGAGAAAGCAGAATAAAAGTCAGACAGGTAGACGCAGGAGAAGAGAAACTTTGGCAAGGCATGTAAGGAAAAATGGCTGAGTATGTATAGGAATGATGGGTATGACTGCAGTATGGTTTTCCGAAGAGGGTGAACTGAGTCTGAAGAGGGAGGTAGTGGTCAGGTTCTGTGGGCCTCTGACTGCCACTTAGAGAAATGTGGATGTTATCCTATAGCAGATGAGAAGGCTCAAAGGGTTTGCTTTTTAGCAGACATGTGACAAGATAACCACACATCAGATTTCTCCTTTTACCTAAAGGCAGAAAATGTATCTTTAATATCACATAATTGGCCAGGCAAGGTAGCTCATGCCTATAATCCCAGCACTTTGGGAGGCCAAGGCAGGCAGATCATCTGAGGTCAGGAGTACGAGACCAGCCTGGTCAACATACTGAAACCCCGTCTCTACTAAAAATACAAAAATTAGCCAGGTGTGGTGGTGCATGCCTGTAATCCCAGCTACTCAGGAGGCTGAGGCAGGAGAATTACTTGAATCTGGGAGGCAGAGGCTGCAGTGAGCCAAGGTCGTGCCATTGTACTCCAGCCTGGGCAACAACGCAAAACTCCATCTCAAAAACGAAACAAAACAAAACAAGAAAATCACACAATTTTTTTTTTCTAATGAATTCATGCATTCTGGGATTTGTAGCCAAAAACCCCAACCAACATGGCAGGGGTTTCTAAAGAGGGCAACACTGTCCCCCAGAGGGTATTTTAGAAATACGAGAAAGGGTTTTGTTAGATGTCACAATGGGGGCATCTCTTAGTACTTCACAGGTTAAGAATAAAGATGTCAGATGGCCTGCAAGGCACAGAAACTTCCCCCACAGTGAAGGAAAAGATCAGAAGTCTGTTTATCTGAATCTCACATCAAACTTCGTTTTCCACATATAAAGGGTATTTCTGCATGATTTATAAATGTCCATGATTTCTGAATTTTCCAGACACGCAACCACTGTAGTACTTTGTTTTGTTCAGGACTTTACCAATATTTATTTGCCATTTTAGAAAATCATGTCACAAAACTTAATAATGTTGATAGTATTTGAGTCAGCAATACAACATACCTGTCTCTGCCTGCATGTGCAGCTGTCACATTCATGGTGATTCCATATCCAGGATATGAGCGTCTGACTATTTCTTTACAGCTTCTAATGCCTGAGCATTTACATACTAACAAACTGATTCTTTTATTATAAAGTGATGCTGTTTTATTTCTCCCCATTTTTATATTTAGAGCTTCATAATAATAATTTTCAAAATAATGTGTATAAGAATATATTAAAAATAAATTTTCTTTCAGGAAGTAAAAGGGGTATTATAAAATGTCTCTTAGGAAAAAAGAAGACATTGGGTCTCTCATGTAGGTTGAGAATATACTACTGAATCTGTAGAAAAGCCAAATCAAGGGAAAGACAAGGAAAACGGAATCAGCTGGGACCAGAAAAAAAAAAAAGAACATCATCTCCATCCCCACAAGGGGTTCACAGCTCCAGTTAAAGAGGGATAAACAGAAGGGTGGCCTAGAATCTCATAATAGTGATGGCCAAGCTAAGAAAACGGGTAAAGGGAGGAGGCTGGAAGCTTCCTCTGTCCCCAGACTTTCTGTCACTGCTACAAGGGTATGGGCTCTTTCACCTGTCTTTTAAAGGTAAAATTTCACAACCAGATGCAATCTCAGCATTAATGCAGAAGATCATATTGAAAATCCCGAAAATTAAAATTTGAGGACCAGATGCAATCTCAGTATTAATGCAGAAAACGCGGCTGGGTGCAGTGGCTCACTCCTGTACCAGCACTGTGGGAGGCAGAGGAGGGCTTATAGAGCTTGTACCCAAGAGTTCAAGATCAGTCCGGGAAACAGGGTGAAACTCCATCTCTACAAAAAAATATAAAAGTTCATCAGGCATGGTGGTGTGAGCCTGTGATCCCAGCTGCTCAGGAAACTGAAGTGGGAGGATGGATTGAGCCCAGAAGGTTGAGGCTGCAGCGAGCCACGATCGCATCCCTGCACTCCAGCCTGGATGACAAAATGAGACCTTGTCTCAAAAAAAAAAAAATTTAAAGAAAATGAATGCATAATGGATAACTCTTACCAATAGTTTGGTGATAAGAAGAAATTACGAGTCCAAGTTGTGAATATGGAAGTTTGCTTTTCTCCACGGAACTAAAAACTCTGAAGTGCTCCTGAGAAAGGTCAGGGGGTATTGACATATGCATCTCCTCTGTCCCCAGGCAAAATTCCACCCTTCCAGGAGTACATTTGGAATTGTTTATTCCTCCTCTCTCTCCTAAATTCATGAAAAACAATAATAATAAATAAATTTAAATGTAGAAAAAAAGGAAGTTGCGGGGGAAAGTAGAGAACATGGAAAGCGAAAAAGAAGGAAATATTTTGTATATAACTGAGACATTTTTGCAGTTTGAGGGACATTATTTCCTTAAACTTAGTATCCAGGGTCATGTTTGAAGATCCTAGGTATGTGTGGATAAGCTCCATGACTGTATTATTTCATCAAAAGCACTACAGAGGGGCCGAGCACAGTGGCTCATGCCTTTTAATCCCAGCACTTTGAGAGGCTGAGGCGGGCAGATCACCTGAGGTCAGGAGTTCAAGATCAGCCTCGCCAACATGGAAAACCCCATCTCTACCAAAAATACAAAAATTAGCCATGTGTGGTGGCAACTGTCTGTAGTCCCAGCTACTCGGGAAGCTGAGGCAGCAGGATCATTTGATCCCAGAAGGCAGAGGTTGCAGTGAGCAGAGATTGTGCCATTGCACTCCAGCCTGGGCAACAGAGCAAGACTCCATCTCAAAAAAAAAAAAAACAGTACTACAGAGGATAGTCAGGTAGAAAGCAAATATTAAGATAATGCTTTGCTTCTTGTGGGGACTGGTGGAAGTTGCGTAGTTTGAGTTCGCCTTTTTTAAATAGCTTCCAACAGTAAGGTGTCAGTTTGCCTCTGGGGCAGACACCTCTGGGATAGAAGCAACACACAGGTAGTTCTGGCCTGAGACAAAACAAAAAGCGGGGGTTGGGGGGAGGGGATGTGTCTCTTTATAAGATCATAGAACACATGGGGGAAATAATCAATATTCTAGGTGAAGTGGTTAAAAGTAATAGAGAAAGAAGCTAGTATAGATTTTGAAGTCCACAGCCGGAGGAGTAGAAATAAACTACTGAAAATATTTTGGTACCAGGTGAGATTCAGAGTGAGCTGGTGTAAACCATTCCTAGGAATTGTATTTGCCTTTTTATTTATTTATTTATCTTACCCATTTTATGGGGGGGGGTGGCTTTTCTGTTTTGTTTTGTTTTGAGACAGTCTCGCTTTGTCGCCAGGCTGGAGTGTAGTGGCACAATCTGGTTCCCCGTAACCTCCGCCTCCCAGGTTCAAGTGATTCTCATGCCTCAGTCTCCTGAGTAGCTGGAATTACAGGTGTGTGCCACCACACCCAGCTAATTTTTGTATTTTTAGTAGAGACAGGGTTTCACCATATTGGCTAGGCTGGTCTTGAACTCCTGACCTCAAATGATCCACCCTCCTTGGCCTCCCAAAGTGCTGGGATTACAGGTGTGAGCCACCATGCACAGCCAGCCTTACCTATTGCTAATGTATGGAGCAATTAGAAGAAGCCAAACAAGATATGGAGAGCTAATTTAACATAATGTGAGTCTGCAGACAATATAACCAAAAACTATGGATAGATATCATAGAAAGTGTGGGGGGTGGGCAACAACAACAAATACGTAAATAAATAAAACTCTGCCTGCGGTTGTAAAAAAAAAAATTGGTCAAATTTCTAAAAGATCATTTCAGTGAAAATTAGCATCTTAAGTATAAATCAATTTTTAATAACTTTATACTACTTTACATGTATTTATCCTCATTATTCTGATCAATTTGAATAGCGAGAATCATAAATATAAAATAGGATTTTAAAACATTTTAAATAACTTAAGTATAGAGAGTTCAGGATTTTTCCAGCCTGAATTTGAATGTACTCTTCTCTGAGGTTACCATTTAATCACTCAAAGCCCAGCTTTGCTTGAGTTCACAAGCAGATAGGTGTTAAGAGAGAAAACAAATGCAACACAACCAACAACAGTGAACATCTTGTTGTTTTAAGCTAAAATAACCTAAGATCAAAATCTATAGCATTAATAAGAAATCTTGGTGATGCTTGTTTTAAAATGTATCCATTTCTTTGCCACCAATAAAGCAGTGTTTTGGTAAAAGGTTCTAGTTAACTCAGTATGATTCAATCCATCTACTTATGAAGTAAAACAAGGCCGTAGCACCACATCTTCAAAGAAAACTGTAATAAGAACATAAATGTACAGCATCAAAAAATTACTGAATATTGTCACAACTGCTGTACTCAAAAGAGTTTGCTGGTTTCACAGAAAGCATAAAGTGGGTGAGTGAGAAAGTGCATTGGCTAAAGTGTAAGATAGAGATTAGATCCACTAGACAAGAAGAAAGTGAAAGGCACCAGGGAGCATTGCACGTAGGTGGGGAGGGAAGAACGAGAGGGCAGAAGACGGACATCTGCAGGGTGGTCATCCCACATAAAGAAAGATTCAGAGATACAGAACAAGCATTTTACCTTGTGTCTGTGCAAGAAATAATGAAAGCAACTTTCTGCTGTGTCGCATTGATCTGTTATGGTATTTGGATTTTTCCAGTGTCTCTCTAAAACACCTCAAGGTGTCTGTCACGTCCACGGGCACGCAGACAAGCGCTTTGGCTCGGCTGTATTCTGAAAGGAAAGAAAAGAGGAACATTGGGGATGAAATGCTCGCCAAGCCAAGGTAAGAGCCAGCAAGTTTCTAATTCAGAGCATTTCTTGGTCCCAACCTAAAGCCGCTCAATTCAAAGCCCCCAGATCTGCAGCAGGTGTTTCAACAATCGAATCAATTTTTTTCTTTTGGTATGTTTGAAGATCCTTTAAAAAAAAAAAAAAAAAAAAAAAAAGCTTGGAAAACTTTTGAGTCTTCTGAAATGCAAATAACGTTAGATCTTGCCAATTTTCCCCATGAAGCCTCCTTCTTTTTCTTTTGCTGATCATAAAAAATGAAATAATCTACTCCTTTTCAGCAGCCTCTTCAAAGTAAAGGTGTCTTGGGAACGAGACGAAAGGAAGAAACAAAGAAACCTGGAAATGGGCAACTGCACTCTGAAGGGAAGGAAAAAACAGTTTCCTAATACTGGAGGGTGCAAAGGAAAGGAAGAGGGGGACCCATGAGTGGATACAGAACTAACCAACCATCCTGAAATGTCCCCAGAAAGGGGAGATACTGGGAGAGAACTGCTTCGAGGTCTCTGAAGAGTGAGTGAGGGCCTGGGACTTCAGAACTGCTGCATACATCATGAAGCAGACCCAAGAGAGAGGAATCACAGTTTGCAGGAGTGAATAACAAAAGAATGTATTTCTTCAACAAGTTGAACAAATGGAAGCTGTCCTGTAATATCTGAGGTTTTAATAGTATAGCAACTTACAGGGCATGTTGGAAGAGGTCAAAAGGCATGATCTTTGCCCTCAAGAAATTCACTATCTAGCTGAAGGGATGGGACACTCCAACACTGAAGTAATCAAGTCACATTTGCAGGGAGTACTTGATCACACGCCAAAATAAGGGAAAGATGGAAGACAGATCAGTGTAAGCAGGAAAAGGTGAGTAAGGAAGACCTTGTGGAAGAGAAGATAGGCCAGGTGTGCCTTCGAAGATAGGGAAAGCTTGCTTAGGAAGAAAGAGGCAAGGAGTTTTAGATAGTTAGAATAAGAACAGGAATAGCTAGGCTGGGCGAGGCGCTCATGCCTGTAATCCCAGCACTTTGGGAGGCTGAGGTGGGTGGATCACTTGAGGTGAGGAGTTTGAGATCAGCCTGGCCAACACAGCGAAACCCTGTCTCTACTAAAAATAGAAAAATTATTTAGGCATGATGGCGCATGCCTGTAATCCCAGCAACTCAGGAGGCTGAGGCAGGGGAATCACTTGAACCTGGGAGGTGGAGGTTGCAGTGAACTGATCATTTCACTGCACTCCAGCCTGGGCGACAGAGTGAGTGAGACTCCATCTCAGAAAAAAATTAATTAATTAAAAATACAAAAAAGAAATAGTATAGAAGTTAATCACTTCTAAAGGTTAATCTCAGTTGATCCTCACAGCACCTTAAAAATGGTCAGGAGTAGCTATCACCAACACTTTACAAAGAAGGAAAAGGGAAGTTGAAGGGTAGGAACTTATTTGAAGCCCTTAAAAAGAGGTGAGCGGAAGAACCAGTCTTCAAGCCCAGTGCCTTCCCCAGATGATTCACCAAAGGACAGCAAATCTTGGGTAACAGACACTGACCACTGACCCAGATTTGGGCACACAGATGCCTTGGGAATAGGACAGGAATAAGCCTGAAGAAAGTTAATATGGGAAGAAACCCAGAAGCAGGGAGATCCTGATGGAATAAGTAACACGGGATTACTTTCTGTGGCCACAGAGACAACATCTTTCAATATACCCTAATGTCCTGAAATCCCAGAGGCTTCAGTCAAACCAGGGACATGGCGCATTGACAGAAGTCATTGTTCCCCCTACAAATTCAGTCTTGACACAATTCTCTATCACACATTTAAAAGGATCAAATACTTAAGCCAAAGTAGCTCTTGTGAACCCCCTGGAAGCTCTCCTTCTTATCAGTTTCACTCTGGTGTCTGCTCCGCCCTGTCCCCACCATCTCCCTCCTCAGTGGCCCTCTCTGCTAAGCCGTGCCCAGTCCTGCATGGTCCCTAGGCCCGTAGGCCTCTATTCCACATGCCCCCACCCTTATCCACAACACCTTGAAGATTGTAGGATTCTGCTCTGTTTCTTTATTTTTCTTGCAAAAATTCATGAGCTTGGCTTTTGCTTTTTCTCCTTAAAGAGTGAGATCAGGAAAAGCAGTAAATCAAGTACCTTAGTCAGTTGAAACTGCTATGCAAAATTACTATAGACTGGGTGGATTATAAACAACAGAAATTGATTTCTCATCAGGCGCTCTGGCTCATGCCTGTAATCCCAGGATTTAGGGAGGACAAGGCAGGGAGGATCCCTTGAAGCCAGGAGTTCAAGACCAGCCTGCACAACAAAGCAAGACCGTCTCTACAAAAAAATAAAATAAAAATTAGCTTAGTGCAGGAGCATGTGCCTGTAGTCCTAGCTACTTGGGAGGCTGTAGTGGGAGGACCACCTGAGCCCAGGAGTTCAATGCCACAGTGAGCTATGATCATGCTACTGCACACCAGCCTGGGTGACAGAATGAGACCTTGTCTCAAAAAAAAGAAAAGAAATTTACTTCGCATAGATATTCAGGGCTAGAAGTCTGAGATCAGGGGACCAGCATGGTAACGTTCTGGTGAGGGCCCTCTCCCTGGCTGGCAGATGGTTACCTTCTCATTGGTCCTCCCTCCCATGACAGAAGCAGGCTACAGAGCAACCTGGGGTCACTTTTATGAAGACACCAGGCCAGACGCAGTGACTCACACCTGTAATCCCAGCACTTTGGGAGGCCAAGGCGAATGGATCACCTCAGGTCAGGAGATGAGGCGAAACCCTATCTTTACTGAAAATACAAAAATTAGCTAGGTGTGGTGGCAGGTGCCTGTAGTCCCAGCTACTCAGGAGGCTAAGGCAGAAGAATCACTTGAACCCCAGAGGTGGAGGTTGCAGTGAGCCGAGGTTGTGCCACTGAACTCCAGCCTGTGCGATGGAGTGAAACTCCATCTTATTAATTAATTAATTAATTAAAATAAATACATCAATGCCACTCATAGGGTTCCACCCTCATGACCTAACTTATGCTACAAAGGCTCCAACTCCTAAGATCATCACATTAGGGGTTAAGATTTTAATATATGAATTTGGCAGGGGTCTTGTGGGGGGAACCACAAATATTCAGCCCATAACAGTGAGCAAATGAAAGGAGGAAAACTGGAAGCCCCCACATAAAATATATGAGATACTTACTTTCTCTAGGCCATAGTTTTAAACATTTGTTAAAACTGGGATGATAACTGCCTGCTTGCTGGGTTCACAAGGACTCCAGTTTTCTTCCCTCATTAACTTTTCTCAGGCTTGTTCCTGTCCTATTTATTCCCAGAGCATCCCTCTCACCAAAATCGGGTTGACGATTTTAACCTGTGTGAGGAGGTGCAGCATGTCTAGTGCAGAGCCTGTCACGGAATAAGCATTCAGCAGATGAAGGCTCACATCACGACTGCTAGTCATGTATTTTTAAAATATAAATTGAACACTCACAAGTACTAGGCACTGTGCCAGGCACCGAAGGAGACACACGTGAGAAAAACAGACACAGTCTCTGCTCTCACCAAGCTTACACTCTACAATAAAATCTGAAACTTTTTATTTATAATAAGAACAGTCTGAATAAAATCACCCCACTGCTTTTTTATCTGGCTGATAAATAATTCCTTAGTGTTCTTCCTAAACTCTATTTTACTTTCTTTTTCTCCCCTTTGTTCAAGCCCTGCATATCTTTTTCCTGGTTGTCTAATTAGGGTTCTGCTGCTGGTGACGTGGCTGTCTGCATGAGATAAATGATGCAAAGCAATGAGGAGGTAGCATTAGCTTCAGAGCCCTTATCTTGACAGCTCTGCCTCAAGGGGGTTCCTCTCTGAAAACTTCCATGGATAATTTAAGAAGCTATTCCAAAGGCACTAATAGCCTCAACAGTTTGAAACAGATAAGAAAGAAAAGAAGGAGAAGGAGAAAAAAAAATTAATGAAAAACATTGTGTCTTTCATTGTACCAATGTAGAAATGAAAGCTGAAATGCCAATGACTCCTGAGAGATGGGAGGATCCCAGCAAGCGATCTGAAATGTAACCTGCTTCCTACACACGTGGCCACATCAATCCAAATGCCCAAGGGCACTAATAAAACACACCTGCCAAAGGGTTGAAAATTCCAACACACCTGAAGACTGAATAACTCTACCAGACAACTTAAACACTAGTAAGGTCAAAACTCAAGAGAGAGATCCCAGGCAGAATGCAAAAACAGCTTCAGTAAAAGGCATATCCATAGAGTTATCTCCCCTATGGAGCTTAACAAGCAGGCAAGTTACTCACCCATACAAGAATATCTATAAAATGAAGTATTCTCACTTCTCCAAATCCTACAGAGACTATACGAAATTACACATGCATTATTAAATAGTTGAAGGGAGAATAGGATGCTGTTAAATAATGAGTACACCAAATGTTCCTAGGCAGTGGAGCATTGCAACATCTATTCTGAAGAATTAAATGTATCGAGCATCACCACTCAATGCTATTATGCCAAAAGAAAATCTATGATGGTCTAAAGCAGCGATCTGGTGTGAAAACCATCATGAGTGCTCTGTCTTTTAAAAGAATTGCAAACATATCAGGGTGACGACATACGTTAGACCCAACATGCTATAAATATATTGATGGTCCGAGTTCAGTACACTGAAAAAGTTCAGCATTCTACAACTTTGCCAAATAAACCCAAGAGCACAGACCAAAAAAAAATGTAAAACTGTTCCCAATAACAGAGGTCCTAAAATCTTAGAAAGAGCTATAAGTTGGATGCCAAGTTTTTAATGATAACAATTCCATGTAAAACCTGTAATTAGTTATACAGGATCATCTAAAAATTACCACACTATCACAGTAAGTCAGAATAAAGTGTCTGTCTTCAATGACCGCTGAAATATAGCAAATTTCTTCTTGAATGCTGTAGGT